CTTGTCTTTTCTGTGATTTAGGCGTTTGTTTTCTTGGAAGATATTGTATGTTTTTTTTTTAAGTTTTTGGTAGCTGCCAGCGGAAAATGCTGGCTGATTTTTTCTTGCGTACTTTTTTTTTCTGTGACCAATACCCGATTGTAGCCAAGTAACTTTAGAGAGTATGTAATTTTATGATTTTCCCTATAAACTATCCGGGCCGCCGGCTATTCTCTTCATTGGAAGGAGGAGAAGATTAGGTACATGAAATAATTATCCTGTTGAATCGTGGGTTCGTTGAGAACTTTCTGACATGTGCCCAACAAGTGTTCGACTCTTGTTCATTGTATTCAGCTAGTGTCTGATAAAGTGTGATAAGTGTTGGACATGGTAAAATTTTGCCAACTAGAGTTTCATGCTTTATAGATGCATATATTCTGAACTACTCCTGTGCGAAAAGATGTAACTCTACAAAAAGATTAATGAGGGTAGATTTAAAGATTAAAGAACATGGATTTTGTTTGCAGAAATCCCGTAACTTTCTGCTAATCAAAGCTTAATCTTAGGGACCAAGTGTATTTTGCCCTTTGTATTACTAACATAACCAAATGTGATCTCCAAATCTGAGAAGATTTATTTATTTATTTTTTAAAATGATCTCTTATTGATTATGCATCCTAGGCATACAATTGGGAATTTGGACATTGGATTATGGTTGTAACTTTTAGACGTTCTTTGATGAGATGAAATAACAAGTATTTTAGGATCAATGTTTCATGAGCGTAATCAATAATTATTTATTCTTGATGTACTTGGTGTTTATTTTTTTTCTTTAGCTAGTGAGAATGGGCACCACGAAAATAAGCCAGATGAACCTGCTACTGAGGAACCTGCTAAGGAGGACGATAAACAATCATCTGAGGAGGACACTAAACAACCTGAATCATTGGAAGAAGTTCCTGAAACAGAGAAAACTGAAGAACCCATTGCAGACCCTCATGAAGCAGGTGATGCTCAGGATTCTGCTGCTGAAATCTCTGTGGAGGACAAAATTCAAGAACTCTCCAAGGAGGAAAGTCAACCAGTGGAAGCTACACTGCCACTGGAGGAGGATGTTTCTAATGCTGAGCAAGATAAACCTTTATCTGGGGCCGAAACAACAACATACAAAATGGAAGTTCCTAACAGTAAGGTGTGTATTTGCGAGATATTTAATTTTGATTTTTGAAGTGTTTTAAGGCGAGCTCCACGCTGACGTTCCATGTTGAGTTTGTTAAGATGTTGTAATATTTTCCTGGTTTGCCTCGAGTTATTTCCATTTGTTTATTTTCTTCTTGATGGCTATGCTGCAAGTATAATTGCTAGACAATACCTGTCATCTTAACTTCTTATTTCTTCCAAGTTTAATTATTGGGTTAATTAGAATGAATGAATACATATTGACAGATGAGTTCTAAGAAAAAACGTTACCTGGTAGTTTAGAAGTTTACTTGTGACCCATCCACAAATTTGGCAGAGTATTGCATATGAGAAATGATTGGCCTACGTTCTGCAGGTAGGAGTTCTCATTGGCAAGGCTGGCGATACCATTCGATACTTGCAATACAATTCTGGGGCAAAGATTCAAATTATGAGGGATGCTGATGCTGATCCTTCTAATCTAACTAGACCTGTAGAAATTATTGGAACTTCCGAAAATATAAAAAAGGCTGAGGAGTTGATTAATGCTGTAATTGCAGAGGTATTTATTTGTTTTATTTGTTTATTTTTCTGCCATGATACTTGTGTTAATTCCCTGTTAGCTTAATGTCTCTTCACCAACCTAGTATTATTTTTCATTTAGTTGTTTTTTTAGCATCTGTTTAATGTTTATTTTGCTGATATGAAATTTTTCTTGATTAAATTATATTTTCTTGTAGGCTGATGCTGGCGGTTCTCCATCGCTTATAGCCAGAGGCCTTACTTCTTCGCATTCTATAGCAACTGCTGAACAGATTCAAATGCAAGTTCCAAATGAGAAGGTTGAAATCCAGATATATGTGGATAGCTTATCGACTCGTTCTCTCAATAACTTACCTAAAAATTTCTATCTCTAGGTTGGTTTGATTATAGGAAGAGGTGGGGAGACCATTAAAAGTCTGCAGACCAGGTCTGGTGCGCGTATACAGGTAGTTGATATATTGCAGGTCTATTTTTATGGTACATGTCAAAAATTTATGGTTTAATAACTGTTTCTTACTTAAATTTGTCTATCATTTAGTTGATACCCCAAAATCTTCCTGAAGGAGATGAATCTAAAGAAAGGACTATTAGGGTGACTGGTGATAAGAAGCAGATAGATATTGCTACAGAAATGATTAAGGAAGTTATGAATCAGGTATGCTCTTGTTTTGGATAAGTTATCTTCTCTTCCAATATCTTGGACCCTTATATCTGCAAATCCTTAAAGTTATGACTTTGATTTTTGGTATTATAAATGCTTTAGTATATTTTTGTTCCCAATGCGCTATGGGTTGTACTTTCCTTTTTCTCTTTTTGGATTATTAGCATGTTGTTTCTGTCTTATACATAAGGTTAGTGACCATTATCACGTTCTTAGATAAATGGCCCCATCTTTGTGTATGCATAAATTCTGTTTTATGGATGCTTCCATTGACTGATAAATGTTAAGCTATATGCTGATTACTGATTTATTCCTTTCAGTATTTTTATTATTGTGTATACTGGTTTTGCTATTGTTGATGCTTAATCCGGCTTATCGGTCTTGTCTGAGACTAGATATCAAAGTCTTGAAGTAATGGCTTAAGATTATTCTACAGGTTAATTCTGTTCAGTATCAGAGAAGCAAAATATTAGCATGTATATGCTATTTGATATGAATTCTACCTGTGGAAGTGTAACATATTTTTATCCGCTTGATGTCTTTTTATGGATTGGTACTAGATTCTTTTCAATCATGCTGGTTGAGTTATATAAATTTGAATGGGTTTAACAAAATCACTTCAGTATTTTGTATGGTATGATTTTCTTTAATGGGATTGGGAAATCACTTGAATGGTGATCCTAATAGCTTGTGAAATCAATGAATGGTCTATGCAAAGATCACATGAATGTTCTAGGAAAAGATCATATACTGAAATCCAAGATGCCGGTTGCCATAATTTATCTATCATAAAGGTGTCAAACTCGAATTGGTTGCCTTTAAAACTGCAGATTTCAATATTGCCTTTTCCATGGGGTCGACATTGCTTTCTTGGTGTAGCAATAGACAACTACTATTCACTCCCATCCACCGAAGAGAGGTATCAGGCATTAAATCTCGCGATTGCAGGATGTTAATAGTTGGTAAGATTGCTTCAAGATTTCAAACTAAGAATAATTGAGTAAGAATGTATTGCATTAACCTTAGTGCTCATTAGTGGACCCATGTTCTATGCTTGAGATTGTGTTGGAAGAAAGTAATGCCTGGTTGAAGTCATGATGCTTACATTTGTATGGGACCAATAGTATTCAACGCTGATGCCATTGCTGAGACATAGAAATCGAGATTTGGTGCATGCCACGTAACTGCACTGTAGCAACAGAATCGCTAAACAACTAACCATCACTATATCAATGTAATTTTCTGTTGATATGATCCTTTTTACCTGATCTCTCTGATCTCATCTGACAGTGAAATGCTCAGCCTATGTTGGTACTACTTCAGGCTGAGAGAGTTAAGATTTAGTTACAAGTTTATATGCTGACACATCTAGCATCTGTTTATAAGAATTATCTATTTGATGAACAGAACACATCATATGTGTGAGATGCCTGAGTCCAAATGTTAAGCTTTCTTGGACGCATGAACTTGTCCATCTCTAGACTTATTCTGTGCAATTCTCCTCCCTTCCTTTGTTAATTTTCAAGTTTGTGTAACGTTGCTCAAACTTGGTGGGCATGTCCTGTTGGTTGTAATTTGTCTACTTCACCTTCTTATGAGTGATCCCTTTGTTCAACTTGAAGCCATGCAAACCTGGGTGCTTTCTGTTCCGATATTTATGAGTGCTTTTGGCTGCTTTATTTACTTGATAAAAGATCAAAAAGATTTGCTTCGACTTTAGGATGCTGTTGGTTACATGTTCCTTTGCATGCAAATGATATATCTGGTATTTTCTTGGTTTGATCTCCAATATTCCAATATTGATCATCTGTATAAAGCTAAAGTCTTCTTTTCCTTTCCTTTTGTACATATAAATGGTAATTTACTGTGTTTGCAATGTTTTAGTTTCATCTTGCTTATTTTATCTAACTAATATGATGTTGCCAGGGTCCCCACCAATGTTCTTGAACAAGGGTTTTGGATCATCAAGTTCAAGCTGTTCATTTTAGTTTTTTTCATCATTCATTTTCTAAATCAATTTGTTATACTTGCATATAATTGAATCTTGAAAATATTTTTTTTCTTCTGTTTGCTTACTCATCTCTTTTATTTTCTTTCCTTGGAGTAGACTGTGAGGCCTTCACCACACTCCACTGGTTTTAACCAACAGGCTTACCGGCCTCGTGGACCAGGTGGCCCAACACAATGGGGTCAACGTGGTCCTCATCCTTCACATCCTGCGGCATATGATTACCCACACAGAGGGCCGTATCCATCTCATAATACACAGTATCAGCAGCATCCTGGATATGGAAACTATCCTCAGCAAATGGGTCCTAGAAGCAGCTACAACTCTGGTTGGGAGCAGAGGCCACCCCCCAGCATGCAAGTGCCACCGCCAAGTTCTGGTGGTTATGATTACTATGGTGGAAGGAGTCATTATTCCGATGCTCCACCTTCTCATTACCCCAGCAATATGCCTGGGCACGCTCCTGGCCCTTCTCCCGCACCAGCTCATGGTCCACCCCAAACTCAGTCCAGTTACAACTATAATCAGCAACAAAGTCAAGGTTATGGGCATGCTGCACCTTATTCTCAGTCAGCTCCTCATCAGAGTTACGGTCATGGATATGAACAGAAATATGATCATCATCCTCCAGCGCAGAATCCATATGGCGGGCATGGAAGCACTCAGCAACTTTACCCTCAGGCTGGTGCTCAACAGGTTTACCCTGGACAACAGCAGTATGATAATAAGCCTCCATCATATGGTGTTCCAGCTCAAGGACCTCCTCCCCAGTCTTATGGTGCTCCTAGGGTTGGTCAGCCTGGAGAGCCTTATCAAGGAGGCTCTGCCCCAGCTTCATATGTCCAAAATATGCAACCTCAGCAGACATATCAATACCCAACTGGTGGCTCTGCCCAGCAATATCCTCCATATGGTACTGTACCGAGCGCAGATGGTTATAATCAGGCACCCGCTGCATCTGCTGCTGCTAGTTACCCGCAGCAGGGCGGCCAGGCAGGTTATGGTCAACCTGGTGTACAGCAACAATCTGCATATGCCCAACAAGTAGCTCCTGCTGCTGCATATGGGCAGTATCCAACCGCCCAACAGGGTTATCCTGAGCAGGCTGCTGCAAACACTGCTGGATATGCTGCGTACCAAGCACCTCAAGATCCTGCTGCTTATAGCGGTGCTCCGGCAACTGCTGCAGCAGCTTATACTGCCCCAACTAGTGGGCAGCCTGGTTACACTCAACAGACTGCAACTCAGCCAACCTATGACCAGTCAATTCCTCAGTCTGGCGGGTATGGAACCGTGCCTTCGAGTGCTGCTGTTGGGTATGGGAAGAGTGTGTCGCCGCAGCCACAGCCGCAGCCCGGGTATCCACAGTATGATTCGAGTCAAGTATATGGGGCAAGTCGTTGAAAATTTTGATTAGGGATAGGGTTGTTGGGTTGTGTAAGCCAATCAGTGTAGGAGGGGTGGAATTGAAGTTGTTGAAGAATGCAGTGTTTGTTGTATTTGCATTGTCATATCGATCTCGGCAGTTAGCTTTGTTCATTAATATTGGTAAATTAGAGAAGAATGCTTATCATTTTATCCACTGTTATTCATGTTTTTACCTTAAAAGTTAGTTGATGAATCGGGACATATCAATTTTGAGCTCTAAATTCTAATCTCCGTCTCACTAAGGTTACTTCCTAACAAGTGTTATTTGAATAACAAACCCTAACTTGTCAAATGGAGTTTCTTTTTCTTTAATGTATACGGCTATATGTTATTTGGACATCTTTTACTACTCGTGTAAACATTTTGAGGATAAATCTTTGGTAAATTACACTTATCGAAGTTTCAACATTTGAGGATGAAGTTCGGAAACTATGTGAAAGTTCTAGATTTGGAACGAATCACTTTAGAGCTGCATTGAAGTTCCAAATCACTTTAGAGCTGCATTGAAAGATAGAATCATGGAATGGTAGAGAATGGAGGAAGCAATTGTTGAGACTAAGATTTAAACGTTAATAGAAATGCGATGTCAGATACCAATGAATATTTTTAGAAAGTTTATATAAAAAAAAATAATAATAATAATAATTAATTAATTAAAATAACAAATAAATATTTACCTCTTTTTAAATAAAGATATTTTCTCTGGGACACTATAGAACTATTGTTTCATCCCCACCACGTTAACGTCGAAACCATGAACATAAAGAAATGTCGACATGTCAAATTTAATACCATACACGAAGAAGAAAGAAGGAAAACAGGCGAGGTGGAAAAAAAACCACATAATTCAAAACTATTATAAAATTTATAAAAGGAGTCATATCATTAAAATTTTGCCATTCCATATAATTTTGTCATTAGTAGATCAACTCAGTTCAAATTATTTAAAATTATTTTTTAAATTTGAGGGACTAAAAATGTTTAAACAACAAAATAAAAACTAAGTTCAATTGTGGGAAAAAAATATAATTTTATACAAATTTTTGAGTAAAGCAATCAACTTTAATCTTAATACTATTTTTATCAAGTTCATTTACTATAAAAGTAATAAATCGTCCACCTAGTAACATTTTTTACCTAAGTCTATTTTCTAAAACATTATCAAATTCGCTTCCCTTCCCATGAATCATATTTGACAAATTAAAAATTGATTTCAAGAAAACTTAAAATCACTTTAAATCGATTTTTAAGATATCACTTAGATGGTGATTTTGAAAAATCAGTTATACTTAAATCCCTTTTTTGAAAAACATTAATTCTACCGTTACTCCCAAACACAGCCAATTACAAATAGGACAAGTTATTATGAGTTAGAGGAATGTTTTTTGATTTCACAAATGAATACTACTTATAATTCACAACATTAAAATATATAACAGTTCAACTCATCAAATTTATCTTCATACCAAATCATCATTAGGACCTAATTACAAATCTTGATAAACAGAACTGAAAAAGGACAGAAGAAGCATTAGATACAAGATAAATTTAGCCGACATTGAACATACAAACTTATTCTTACAACAAGACAATGCTTTCTCTTACTCAGCAGAAAAAGAGAAAAAAACTATGCTTTGTGCAATTTAATTTAAAGAAGATACAGAACACATAAGACAATCAGCCATTCCAAATCATAAGCAGAGAGATTTGATTAGACTGACCTCTTGCAAATCAAATCATAAGCAAACTCCACAAGACTCTTGTTGTGTGCTGCTTCCTCTGGAGGCAACTTCAAGAGAGAAGCAACTTTCAAGAAAGCAGTATGTTGTGTGGCAAATTCAATTTCAGAAAGCGCTTTGGTTGGAATTTTGTGGTGCTGCTTCAAAAGGGTAGGCTTAGATAATGCCCACTGCATTGCCCAAATGGCCAATGGCCTCATGTACCCAATAGATCTGTACTTGTCATCAACGTCCCACGCTTCTGGGGTTTGAAATGAATACCTGGAAACCACAAGCCAAGAATTACTTGCAAATAATCTAAGGGTTTAGGAGAGCAATGAGATAGTTTTGGAAACATTTTGGATTGATATGGTAGTTTGAGAACTTATTTGTTAAGTTACAAATTTAGTTTCTAAATTTTGAGGATAATGTCTACCAATCTCCAACTTCAAAAAGATTTTATGATGACCCTAAACTTAGAATACTGATTCTTTATGTTTAGTTGTTTATACCAACCATACTATTGACTAAAATGATGGCAATATATGTAGAAGACAAACCGCAAAATAAAGTCGACAACTTGATAAAATAAATTGACGTAGTTTATTAAAGTGATTTGATACGTTGATTATAAGAGAGAGTATGTTATTACATGACACTATTTGTCTATACTATCAAGTTCCTTCAACTTGAACTGTACATCAGTCACGGCATGCCAAATCAGCAAAATGTCCCAATAGGCATACAATGCCACTATCTAAAATGATATTAATGCAATATAGGAACCAAATAAATTATAATTCAACATTCAAGAACATAATTAAAATTTTTTATAATTATTAAAGTTCAAAGACTAAATATATAATTTAACTAAACTTATTTTAAATCTAGGGTTGACATGTAACCGATTGACTTTCATTAATCAACGTCAAAGGTCGACTTTGGAATATACGGCTTAGACCATTTCACTGCATGTTACTACCTACGCTTACCTTAATTTAACTATAAGATAAGTTATAATGTTTATAATTATAGGAGAAAAAAAAGGGAACAAAGTGATGTACCCGAGGCCATCTTGGGCCCAAGCCGTTTGATGGATGCCCATTGCAGTCTGGAACCCTGTTTCAACCATTCCTTCTTGAATCATAGAGGCAGCAACAGAGTATGTAACTCCAGTCCATATCTCCTTCGGCTGCATTGAGGATGTATCAACCCTTCCATCTGGAAACATTCCATTCACTGCCCCACGCGTTCCTCCCTTCACCTTCAACACATTGAAATTGTAAATCTTCTCAAGCGCACTCCTTATCTTCTCTTCATCGGCAATAGGAGAGAGCCCACATGCTCTAGCATACCTGTGATTTGTGAGTGTGATATGCAAATTCAGAGTCAAAATTTGGGGAAAACAAAAAAGCCAATAGAGACTGTTAAACTGCACCCAACCCAAAAGCACAAGACTATTCATATTCTCATCACTTCCTCTAACTTGTGGCCGTGGGTTTAGATATTAGCACAAGGCTCGACAAGTAACTATCAATGTACATATATATATTTTAAAAGGTACCAGACTTTCATCGAGATAAAAATAAAATAATACACAAGGGGCACACAAAAAGACAGCCCAAGCAAAATAAGCCAACCTAGAGTCCTTAACCATTGAGGCACAAAAAGAAACATGAAATTTAATGCTCCTAACATCTCTCCACCCCTCTAAGAATTCTATTATTTCCTCTATTCACAAACCCCAATAAGCCAAAGAAAACACTCCCTTATCACAAAAGGCAAACTAAAGGACAGCTCCTCCACTAGCACCCAGCCATCTCTTGGGCGAGCAAGGCTGAAACCAAGTAAATATCAATATGAATTGAGAGGAACAAACCTATATAGGAGCCCTTACTCACTTTCTTTATGATATGGTGTATTATCATTGATCTATTTCTACTATATTTAATAAGTGGATACCAATACCACTAAAATTTTTGAGCCATTAAGAATAACACCCACACCAGAAAGTTAACCTACTGCCTAGTGTGTTGGCAAGTCTTTTTCTTCACAAGGAGGAAGTGTCACCACAGGATTCGCCTCTTCTAATACCATATTAAACAGCCCTCGACAAAAAACTTAAGCCGATAGGTTATGCATATTTGACTCCTGTTCCTAATCAAGCAAAATCAACCTCGCTACTTGAGATTCAGAAATGTAAATGCAAGAAAGTAAAGGGTAGCCTAATAACCTTCTTCACTCACCATTGCCCAGCCAGTTGGTCAGCTTGAATAGATGAACTCCAAGGCCCCCCACTGTTGTCATAGTTGAAGTAGGAGCCATTCCATAACGTATCATAAACATCTCTCGCCTTCAGGTACTTAACCCAAAAGTAATCAGCAATCGCTTCATCATCAACTTCAGAAGCCAACGCGGAAGCCGCCTGAAGAGCAGCCACCCACAGCCCCCCGCAGTACGCACTCACACCCTTCACAGTCCACAAATCATAAGTCTGATCAGGAGACCCATCATTCTCAATCATCCCATCTCCATCCCTATCGAACTGCTCCATAAAAGCCATGGCCACATACACTGAAGGCCAAACAGACTTCGCAAAATTTTTGTCCCCAGTAGTAACCACATCTCTGTAAACCTGAAGAACGAATTTCGAACTCAGATCTTTCCATCTGGTGGTGTTCAGAAGATTGTAAGCATTAAGTTCAAACCAAGGATCGTTGAACCCAATATCATGAGGAACAGCGCCGAGAACTTTCCGAGGAACCCAATTCCCGTCACACATAATCTTCGCTTTCCTCGGATCGTGCATCAACACAGCGGCAGCGAAATCTCTCTGAATACTGAGTTCCAGTTTGGGGAAAAGCGTCAGAAGAGCAAAAGATGAGTAGAAATGAACATCGTAAGTGTTCCACATAAGGTATTGGCTTCCTTCGACACACAGTAACTGGCCGACGTTTTCGTCGCCGGGATGAAGCAGTCGGGTTCCGAATGCGGCGCTGGAGGGTCCGTCGCCGCCGCGGATTTGCTCGAAGATTTGAGACATTCGCTCGAGAATATCGACGGCGACGTCGTTTCGGTGGTCGCCGTTCGGTGCTCCATTGGGCTCCGATCTCGACTTTTCGAGGAAGTACTTCTGATCGCCGTTGGCAATGGTCGATAGATTTTGGAGCGGAGATAATCCGTCTGAGATTCGCAGATTTGATTTCAGAATTAAAAAAAAAAATATATAACTAAACCTACTTATTAGGTTAAATTACAAAATTTATGATTGGAGTTTTGGATTTACTTTCAATTTAATTTGTATGGTTTTCAATTTTATTATTATTGTTATTTTTATAACGACAACTAGGATGTTCATGGGTGGGGCGGAGACGGGGAAGGCTTCCCTGTCCCAATCCCCATCCCCTATTTCATTTTCCATTTTTCACAAAATTTTGCGAAGATCGAGGTGGGGATTCCCCGTGAGACATTCATGGGATCAAGTTTCCCACAGAGATTGTTTTCCCATTTATTATTTTATTTTTAAATCATTTATCAATTAAATATTTCTTTTCTAAGAAATTTTTATCAATCGCTTAATTTTCACTCATAAAATTTAATAGAGAAGAATACGATTTTTTAAATATATGTATATATATAGAAAGAATAATAAGATTTTTTTTAAGTATCTATGTATATAAAGTGAGGCAGTACGAAGAATGGAAAAAAACTTTCCCCATCTCCACTCGCGGCTGTCCCGCAGGCTCCATCTCCATGGAAAAATGAATATCCTTAACGACAACATGTGAGTGCTCTGAAAAGTTTCAATTGTTTTGTTGGGAAAATCTTATAATTATCCATCAATTGTTTTTTACCCACCAAAAAATTTACTCATTTTCTCTATCTTTTTCGCTCAGAATGAAGCCCTAGTATCGGTATGTTACATAATCACCTAAGTTAGAAATAACAATCGCATTAATATTTAAATAGAAAACATGTCCTGTAATTAAATATGGATTCAGACAATAAGTGAGATTTGACTAAACTATTAACCTAATTGAAATTGTTACAAATCTAGAGACCAAATATAAATCAAACCCAACCATAGAGATAAAATTGAAACTTTTTAAATCGTAGGAACTACATTAAAAAAAACAGCCCAAACCATAAATCCATAAGGACGAAGATGTAATTTAACCTTTAAATTAAATTAAATTAAAATTACAAATTTTGTATAATGGTATCTATTTAATTTCTAAATCTAAAAAAGTTTGATATGATCCAAAGAGCTCCTTTGATCATGTCTCATGGGTCGATTACAAGACCAAGAGCAAGGAAACTTGAACAAGTCTTACTACTTCGTGTTCAAGCATTGATAAGCTCAACATGAGAATTAAGGAAGATATGCAAGATGTTGAAACAATTTGCTACAATTTGGTTTAAGTTATGCATTTCTAAATGTTTTTAGGTCAAATCAAAATCAACTTGGTCAAGGTCAAAGTTAGTCTAACGAGTCAAAATCAACTCATTCAATTCAAAATTCAAATCAAACACTCACATCTTTTCTTATGGACAAGATTTTAATTTATTTTGTTGGCTCTCCATTTTTTTAGCCTTTTCATTTGCTTTTCTTTCCAATTTAATGAGGTTATGTGTTTTCATTGGCAAATATTTTTATTTTTGTTAAGTTAAGTCTTTTTATTATAAAGCTTTCTATTTGCTTAATACTTTTCATATGATATACTAGGATGACTATATATAGCCTCGAGGTTCCTTTATATAGACACAATTTGAAGTTGAATGAAAAGTGAGTCTTCTCATTAATTTAGTTGAGAGCTTCATCTCCCATTTCTTGTGCAATTTCCTCTATCTTTAAAATTTGCATGTTAGGATCATTCGAGTGATGTCGATTATACCTCTCGTGGAATGATTCGAAGAGTTTAGAAATGAGTCTTCTCTACTCTTGATATTGATCATCAAAATAATCCGTTCTTAAATTTTTTCTTGGGTTGATTCCATAATTGTTTTTGAATTTTTGGGATTGAGTTTTATGGGTTTTTTTTTGTTAGCAAGGTTCTTAGATCCAACTCTCAAAGATTTCTTAACAAAGTTTAAATTACTTTTTTAAATATCAACTTCGATTCTAACAAACATCTTCGTTAGTAAGAAGTACCTTAAATGTTAACACGAGAATTTTTTAAAAAATATTATCATGCCACAGGGATGAAGATTTAAATTTAGAATCTCTTAAAAGAAATATGGATATTTTAACCACTTAACTATATTTATGTTAGCTATGTGATAAATGAGAGATGATTCAACACAAGAAAGCAAGCAATAAGTTAATTAATTTAATTGAGGATAAAGAGGTCCAATAAATTTGAATAGCTGTGTGCGGTTCGCATTTTCTTGTGTTGATTAAAAATTACCTGTTGATAATATACCTTAAATTGTTTGGCCCCATAGTCTTATTTGGTTCGATTGGCCTATTTCTTGTGTCAAATCAACCTTTATTAGTGCGTTATGTGTAAAAAAAAAAACAATATTACAAGAAAAAACTATTTAGAATGCAGAATAAAAGTTCAAATTATAAATAAATATATAGAACTTTCAAAGCCGTATTTGAAATTTTATAAAATTTATTATATACTAAATAAACAATATTATTTAAAATTCAGAGGTAAGTTTACAATTAAAATATTAGGAAATAAAACTGAAACAAATTATATAAGTTGGGAGCAAAATAGAACCCAACTAAATAGTACAGAAATATGCTTGATTTCAATTTTTGTCCTAACATTTTTAAAGTTTCGATTTTACCTCAATCTTTTACTTTCCCTTAGTCATTTATTTTAATAGAATTGGTTTTCTAAAACAACTTAAAAGATTAGAAACAAAAAATTAAAATAATTGTACACCATAAAAAGTAATTTTTGTATAATTAGCCATTTAAAAGTGAATAAGAATTAAAGTTGTATTGGATAACCTTTTTTTTTCTGTTTTAAAAAATTGAACTTAGAGACATTATTATTATTATTATTATTATTATTATTTTGAGTACAACATGTTGGGAAGGGGATTCGTACTCACAACCTAGGTATATGCCAACAACCTAGGTATATGCCAATTACCGCTGAGCTGTACTCGCTTTGGCGACTTTCAGTTATGTGTTCCTTCTTGTTTTGCTAGGTAGTTTTTATAACAGTTTTCGAAACTTTGCTTTTGTTTTTGAAAATTGACTAAAAATTCAAATCTATTTATAAAAGATGTGAAAACTGTACAAATCAAATTGATGGTCGTTATCAAACGCCCTTAAATTTTATTATTATTATTTTTTCAAGTCTTCCTATGAAGAGAGGAGAGAATGAGAGATAACCTGTCCAAATTGTTCCTCCAGCATTTAGGAAGTATAGCTCATTGAAGAGGGCAACAGGGTACCTACAAAATTTACCAAATTAAATTAAAAAGTTTTAATTTGAATGTTTATGAAAGTGAGAGTGAGAGTGAGTTGTAATTTGCTTTCAAAAAATCTCACTCACCATTCAGGAAAACTTTTGTCTTCAACAATTGGCCTTTGCCATTCCTCAATCTTGGATTCCCACTTTCCATGTTCTATTTCCAAATTTAATACACCAATAATATATCATACATCCATCCCTTTATAATATGTTCATAAATTCATTAAATTTAGTTCTAAAATTGTAGAACATAATCATTTAAATTTTATTTTACTCCCTAAACATTTGTTTATTTTAGGGTGGGTTTGGAAATGATGGTAGAACGAGTGATTTTGAAAAAAATAATTAAGAATAATTGATTTGCCAAAATTACTATACCTAAGTGATACTTAAAAATCAATTTTAAGTGATTTTATGCTTTCTTAAAATCGACTTTTTAATTTGCCAAACATGATAAATGTAAATGGAAGTGATTTTGACAATGACAAAAGTGATTTTAAAAACGAGTAATCAATTAGTAATAGTGTTTTTTCCTTAATCCAAATTTCAAACTTTACACGCACAACATGTAGTTTTAAAAACTTGTCCACATTAAATATTCATTAATCAAATAAATTAAGTGGACATGTCACGTCAAAATTATAATAAATGGTCTATACAAAATTAATAGTAAAAATTAAAATAGCCGTTAAAAATAGACATAAATTGAAAAGATGGAAATAGAATTTAAGTGTTTATATAAACAATTATTGAAGGAAAGAAAGATTTACCCGAAATGGCATTCCGTGCCATAATTGCAGCCGCATCTCCAAGACTTCCATAGAATCTGGTATATTGCCTACGATAAATGTACATACTATTTTAGAGCTAGTGTAAACAATTCGAACCCAACGTAGCGTTGTTTCTTTAAGATAATTTTGTTTTGTTCCCTCTACGATACTGAGGTTTCATGAACAATTGTCTCCCAAAATAGGACGGAAAGAAACCACAATTTATAGACTATTTGTGGTCATTCAAATAATCACATCTTTTGGTATAAGGTTATATGTCTTTTGATAAATGACATGTCCTAAAGTCTTTGCAAAAGACAGGTTTAGGGTTCTATCACGAAAAGTTGTGTTCCTTTATTTTATCAAAATTAATTTTATTCAAAAATTTCAACAGTAGTTTAATCATGCGTATATATCTATTTTACTATTTATCGAACCACATGAAATATTCGGACTGATTGGCTGATGGGGACATACAATCAATATCTATTATGTCGACCTAATTAACTTCAATTTTTGTTGGTTCGGTTGATTTCATCGATTGCTTGAGAATTTTGTTTCCTCTGTTTTGGTAAGACTAATCATTCAAGAGGATATAAAAGGATAAAGTAAAGCAGCTGACCTGTGGTACGTCTTTCCACTGAATTTCACTTCAGGGCAGTCCCACGCCAATGAGAAAGTGACCGTACGGGCAGATGCAGAAGGGACGGTCAAGGTGGCTGCAATGGCTGCTCCAATGCAAGATCCTCGTTTTGAAACCTCAGAATCAGATCCTCCAACGCTGCCAAGGTTGTCAAAAGACCCATGCTGCAAATACCAAAAGCAGCACAAAATTCTAATATTCCAATATAAATATATAATTTTTTTTATATCCAAAGAAAAGTAAAATATCAAATACTAAGGGTTCATTTGAAAACTATTTCGCTTTTAATTTTTCAAAAACAGGGTTGTTTGATAACCAATTCAATTTTATGTTTTTTATTTTTCAAAAACCATTTTGAAATTTTATGTCAAAAACAAAAAAAAATAGTTTTCAAAAACTTGTTTTTGTTTTTAAAATCTTATTTTTCTTCTAATACTCAACTTTTTTTTTCTTTCTCATATTTATCTCTAAAAAATTATTTTTCACTCTAATTTTTTTTATTTCTAAATTTCTCTCTGCATACTTTATTTTTCTCTCTATAAAATTTTCATATTTTGAATATTTATTGTTATTTGTCTCCCTCCAAATTTTTATGTATTTTTGTTTTTTTCTAACATATCAGTTTCATTTCTCTCTCTAAAAATTTAATATTTTTCCTAACTTTTTACTCTCTAAATTTTTATATTTTATAACTTTTCTTTTACTTCGTAATATATTTTTTCCTCTAAAAATTATATTTTATTTTCCCATTTAATTTTCTTAACTTTTATTTATCTTTGTATTTATTTATTTTCTATGAAAATTATACTTTGAATCTGGTTTTTATCTCTAAATTTGTTTCCACTATAATTTTTCTCTTTCTTTATATCTTTATTTTTTCTCCAAAATTTTTCTCTTTTTGTCTTTAAATTTTCTTTCACTATATTTTTTCTAATATATTTATTTATTTCTCTAAAATTAATCTTCCAAAAGTTTATTTACATCTCTATTTTCATGTCTCTACATTAGGGGAAGACAAAAACTTCCATAGGGTCGGATCTCAAAAATAGAAAATGCATGTCTTAATCCCGTCCCCGATTTCATTTTTAAATAATTAATATATATTTATTACACTTTTTTTATAGTTAAATTCTAAAAATAATTAAAAACAATTATAAAACCGATAATTTTTTTCGAGAACATCTCTCGGACCCAAGAACGCGGTGGAGACAGAGACTAAAAATTTTCACGAGCTCAAAAATGAGGAAGAGCATCTTCACTCGCACCCACACCATTGTCATCTCTAGTCTACATAAAATTTTCTTTCTCTAATATGTATTTTCAATTTTCTAACTTTTTAAAAACAAAAAACTAAAAATGGTTACCAAATATGTTTTAGTTTTTTGTTTTTTAAAAACCAAAAACTAAAATGGTTATCAAACGGGCCCTAAGTAAATGACTACCATGTCTAAACTTACATTGGTCCTTATTGACCTATGTGCCCAACCATGATGGTATATATATATATAATATTCTAGTTCTAAAATGTAAAAGAGCACGAATTAAAGAGAATTTAAAATTAAAATACTATTTTGGTCCCTATACTTTTAGTTTTGGTTCATTTTAATCTCTGTACTTTGAAAATGTTCATTTTAGTCCAAGTACTTTAAGCTTTGATTCATTTTAATCCATGTACTTTGAAAATGTTCATTTTGGTATTTGTACTTTTAAAAATTAATCATTTTAGTCCTTCTTTGCAAAATTTTAACACAAATTTTATACCTAATGAAAAACTTTTAGTATAAAGTAATGTTTACATTTTAAGACATATATTGATTTTAGTGTCATGTTGAAATTGTGATAGAAAAAAATGAGATATAAGAATAAAAATAAGAGACCAAAATGATCACTTTTTAAAAGTATTGAAAGTACAGAGACTAAAATGAACCAAAATTAAAAATACAGGGACCAAAACGAACATTTTAAAAATAAAAGAACTAAAATAAACCAAAGTAAATGAATAAATACTAATTATTGCTGAGTTATGTTTATGTTGAGGACTTAAATATACATTACTCTTAAAAAAAAGAATTAGAATAATTGAGTGAAAACACAAGAAAATATCCCAGCAAACAATTTTTTTTTTTTTTAAAAAAAGGTTTTCGTAAGTGGCTTGAAGAACGGATAGACTTCGACTTATGAGAAATTTTCTTTTCCTTTTAAGGAGAGACTCGTGAAAGATTATACTTTTTATAAACAGGGGGAAAAAGGGAAAAAAAAATAGAGAGAGATGAGATAGAGAAATATGAACAAAGGGGTAAAGAACTAACATTTTTAATTTGTTGCCACATATCCTTTGCTGAAATGCCCTCGGAGTCACCAGATATTACAAAGCAAGGACAGACGGAGACGTCAATATCATCCGTAGCCTCTGCCGCAATAGCGTACCTAACTGTCGGACGTCCATTTGCAGTTCTGTAGACATATTATAATATTTCGTTTTTACTGAAAAAAGATAATAAAAACGATTTAATTGAATCTGCAGGGGTCATGATCCTTTTTTTCCCCAAAATTTGATAAGTGTCTTCACAATTCTTTTGTTTTGCTTCTCACGTTTTCTAAAAAGTACTTTCCAATTCTTATCTAAATTTCAAAAAGCAAAAAATTAATTTCTGAAACTTATATATATTCTAATTTTTTAAAACTAGGATACAGTTTTAATAATATATAACAAAATAAATAAATTGCGAACGAGTAAACTTATTTTTTGAAAATAAGATTAACAATTTTGGAAGAAATTGAATGACAGAAGTTGATTCTTAAAATGAAAAAAAGAAAAAGTACTAACTTGTGGTGTAAAAGAACTCCGCGAGCTCCATCCTCTACCCTGCTCACAAGTCCAACGTTGAAAATTAGAAGCTATAAATTCTATGAAAATTATTATTATTATTTATAACTAGGAGTTGGAGTTTTGCTCTCCTTATCCAAAAGCACCCATGCCCGCTTCAAAATCCAGACTCGAGAGACATCAAGATTTTTTTTTATATTAATTTCACCATAATGTTTGAAGCTAAGACCTCTAAATCTATATGATCAAGAGACTTCAAATCTTTGTTAACCTGAATATCCCTTGAAGACTAAATTATTGAAAACTAGTCATATTTGCAAGCATCAAATTAGGTCAAATTATTCACATTTGGTTCAACGCGACGTAAATGCACTCATAGGTTTAATTGATACCTAAAAAAAAGTTAGAAGTATGCCAAATATCCTTACTTTACTATTGCGTCTAGCTAGTTACAATTTTGCCCTTTTAACCTTTCAAAGTGATATAAAAAAAACTTCCCATTAAAAGGGTAACTTTTCAATTGAAACTAGACACTTAGGCAAGTAGTTGGTTTCAATTTGATCACTCTAGTTTGAAAATATTCAAATTTTATCATAATATTTTAATTTTCCTTTTTCCNAAGGAAAGAAAAAAGGGTTTTTTTCTTTAGCCATGAAAAGCAACTTCCCTGTCCTTACCCAATCTTTGAGTTGTAGTGATGGCCAGAGAGTCCAGAGTTTCCACCCACTGAGTTCTGAAAGGTAAGAAACAGAGCCCAAAAGTCAGGCAAGAAAGTGCTTTACTGCTGAATCAAAATGAACCCATTGTAGAAAAAGGATTTGGAAACACTTACAGCCCAAGTAAACAGCAAAGTGACTTCTGCAGAAGTTTCACCTTCATTGGATAGCTGCCATAATAAACCAACAACCACAGCAATTTTTCATAAAAGTTTAAACATCAAATTTGGTCAGATGGGTTTCAGTTTTCATGTCAATGGCCATACATTGTATGTAAACACTGAGACTGGGAAACTGCTCTCCTTGTAATTGTTAGGAAGAAATGGCGAAATTTGACGGCAAACAATTCTAAGATCCGGGTCCGGTTGGCCTGGTACAAAACAAAATCACAAGAACATGGAGAAGAAAAAGAAGAAACAGGGGAGATGATTCAAATGATGTAAACAGGATTTTACTGATTAATAAGTTGTATTGTACCATCATAGATTGTCCAAGCCCTGGGAAACAAAGCATGGTATGTACAATTTTCACCACTCAAATTCCAATCCCATGATTCTATGCCGTCGTGCTTTCCATCTCTGGTAAAAGCCTCGAAATGTAAAATAAGAGAAGAAATAATACTGCAAGATTTATTCTATGCAAAATCGGTACTAATTAACTCGAAACCTTGAGCATTCAAGCTAGATTTAGTCTTTAATTTGATTTAAAATGTTAGATGTGTGAATTATGGATATGGATGAAGAAACAAATAATGATCCAAAGTCGATATTAATTAAGCTAGAAAAACTAATTAAAAGCTATTTTACTGTATGGACAGTAACTTACTTGGATTCTTGTGGTTTGGCTTTGGCAGAGCATAGTACCGTCGAGAATCTTTTGCCATTTGGGCGTGAAACAAATACCTAAAACAGAACAATGTTGATTTCAATCCAATAATTCAATGAAAACAAGGAAAAAAAGAAGAAGAAGAAACAAGTTTATAGAGCAGAGTTCAGTTAGTTGACCGACAGAGAATTGATTTGCTAAAACTGGTTGATCTTCACTCGGTCCATAGAACATTTGAAAACGTTGAAACTCTCCTCTGTAACTCCGCCCAATGCTTCCTGCACTAAAATCGATGTTGAATGCTTTCAAATGTCAGAATGAGGAAAGATCAGACGGCAGCCGCGGCGGCTTGCGCGGAGGAGGAGGCGGAAATCAGAACACCTACCCTATTCCACCTAACGGAACGCCGTGGTGACACGTGATTGGTTGAGTCGCAAAGAAATCAAAAATCGGAATCTGATGGGAAACGAAACGGAAAAGACAAGAAATGAGCGAAAAAGGAAAAACAGAAAACAGAATTGATCGGAAAAATCAGCCTCGTTATTACTCTTCCTTTGGCGGCTTCTTCCTTGCCGTTACGCCACAATCGGAAGCCCAACGAGCCCTAGAAAATCGAAAAGAAACGCGATCAGAATCAGAGGATCGAAAGAAGAAGGAACTAACTAATTCCATGGCGTCCAATCACAAAATTCTTCGCAGTTTATTTCCATCACCAGATGCCAAATGTCGTGGAGCGTGAGAGCGAACTGCGCGGGACATTTTCCGGTGAAATCGAGCTTACGGTTCCAGGTCAATGATGGCGGCTTGGCCGGATCAACCTGTAAGAAATTCAATGGAGAGAAATCATCAGTGAACTAAGAAGAGAGAATGTTCGTCAAATCAAAATTTCTCCAAGAAAAAAGTAAAACAGGAATTGAAGAACACCTCTCTTTCTTCTTCTTCGTAGCCATTTTCCATTTCTTCTCTCCTGAAACTGAACTGATTACGCAGTGAGAGAGATTTTTTCAGAGAGAGAAGCACGGCGGGGTGGGGATTCTGGATCTTTTTGTTTGCTTTTTGAAATCACTTCTATTTAGATCCTCCATTTTTATGCAAATTTCAAAAACCGCCCTTCAAGTTTCAATTTCACCAATCACCCCTTATTTATAAACTATAAATATTATTATAATAATAAAAAAATTGATTTTTTATACAATACGTGGATGGAGATTTGAACTTACGATATTCTTATTTAACCACCTAATTATGCTAGGTTTGACTTGAATAATAAAATTGTTACTCATAAACCAAAACTTGTTTATACCAATTCTTATTTCGTTAATTGAGAGGTTGCTCAGTATTGATTTGAAAGTAAAATTTATTTAAAGATTTAACTATAACAATTTTTGTAAGTTCGAGGGTGTGGTGGTAACCATCCCTATAATTTACGAGTGATTTTCGCAAATGTTCCTTTTTTTAAGAAAAATATTTTTATCTTTTTACTAAAATTTGATATTATAAAATTGATTTCATGTATGTTATTCTAAAATATTTTTGTTAATCAATAATATTTTTAAGATCGATAAATCATCTACTAGGGGTTTAATCCATCCTCTACTACTTTGTTGAACTAAAAAAAGTGATAAGGTCCAAATTCTCCCTTCTAAAAAAATCTTTAAAAAAATTAATACTTTTTTTAAGTCCAACGCAATATGGCCGAGAGAAATTTAATAAAGTTTAATATTGAAAGATATTTTTATTAAAAATATATATTTTTATTCTTTATTATATAAACTATTAAAATTGAGGTGATGTAGTTTATTATCCATTAATTTTAGGGAATCCGCTAGCAAAAATCTTATGTATTTCAAAATATGTCACATTTTTGTAATTGTCCTTATTTGCTGCCGCTCCTTGATCTTAACCTTCATCAATTAAGAAAAAATGTATAATTAAAAAAGGTTTACAAAGTTTTAAAATATACTAAATTGAGAAAGCAATAAATATAATATGGACTAAAACATAAAACATATGTTTAGTCTAAAATTAATATAATAATTTTCGTTTAAAATTTTATTTAAAGATAAGGGAAATATTGTCTAAATAAAATTTATCTATGATAGGATCATTTAGACTATCAATAGTTTTTTTCTTCCAATATTTCTTTTTTTTTTTATAGATATCTGCAATAGTAATTAGGAGAAACTACTTTTCTCCAAAGAAAAAAAAAAGAGAAATTAAAATACTTTAAAATTCAATTTGTTTTTTCGTCAACTAATGTTACTAGTTTTATTACATATTTATTAATTTTTGTTATTATGATAAAATTATGTTATAATTTATTTCCTATATCATACACATGTGAGCGGAAAAAAAAATTAAGAAGAAAATAATGAAGTTTTTAAGAAAATTTTTTTATAATTACTTCCTTTGAGACTTTTAAATTCTTTTAACTTTTGTTTGGCATGAAATATCTTCATCACGCGAATCTTTTAATCAATAGAGGGACTCGCAAGATAAAGATTGAGTACTTCGCTTGTACCTGCTTCCAACTGAGTACACACCATTCCTCTAGCAACAGCAGTAACAAAGATTGGTGGAAAGTATGCATTCAAAAATTAAAAGTGTTCCTATGGAAAGTGTGTCACAATGTGATTCCTATAATATCAAATTTATAGAAGAAAGGATTGGAGGTCTTACCTTATTGTCCTATTTGTCTTGTAAGATGCTCAAGAGCCTGCCGAATTTGAGAATGTTTATTTCAGAACAAGGTGGTTTGGGGCTGCTTTAACGACAGCTTCCTCGATCGCTGGACTAATTGGATGTGCACCATTTCCAAATCCGAACTCACCCTAACAAGTATTGCATGCTGGGCTATCTGGAATGGTAGAAATTTGATGGTCCACAATAGTCGAATTTTAGAGGGTCTCTGTCAAGGTTAATTGGATTATGGATTACGCAGAAGAATTAAAATTGATAGAGAAGGATGTTTTACGAAATTAGAGGAGGATGGTACCCCGTCAGAATGTCTGGGCTCCTCCTCCTACGAGGGTGGTAAAGATAAATACTGACGGGACTTGTGTACCGCTTAGAGATGATAAATCGACTGTTTTGGCTACTTTGGTTGATGTCGTCCCATGGAAAAGTCCTCAGATGGTGGAAATTGCTGCGATTCGTGAAGGGCTAAGACTTGCTTTGTGTTAGGGATTCTTCGGGTGATTGTGGAATCTGATTCGCTAAATACCATCAATCTGATTTGCGAAGACACATTTGCTCGAAATGAGACTGCAAATTGAATATCTGATATTCGGGCGTTGTCAAACTCCTTTGAGTTGGTGTCGTTTCACCATGTCTACAAAGAATCAAACTCTGCTGCTCATGCCCTAGCGAGGGAAAGTGTAAAGATGGGACGAGCGTTCTTATGGCTTTCTAATTTTCCCCTTTTTCTCAAACAGCAGGTTGAAGCTGATCTGAAAATTTTTGTAGCCGTAATGGCATATTGAGTTTTGTTTTAATGAATTCATTTTCTAAAAAAAAAAGATTGAGCACTCCGATGCTCAAATCAGTATCGAAATAAGTATCAAGGTATTTTTGTCAGGATTAACTTACCTGTGTGCTTACGTTTCGTCTTATAGGCAAGTCGGGAGAGCGTTGGCACATTTTCCTGTAATGCACATTGTAGATTGAGGGACGTCAAGGGATTACAGATAACTTTTAACCGCATTTATGTCCTTCCGTAGATCATGGTGACATAGGTCGGTTGGAGACTGGAGATACTTCCCTTTGTGTGCGTCCATCCCTTTGTCTACGTGATCGATCAGATTGACATAGTCTCCTCATGGCGACACGTGGTAGTCGATGATCTTGCCTCCACACCAACTTTAAAAAACAACATTTTAAAATGGTAGCTAAGCTTGCACTTTTTTTTTTTTGGCTAAGCTTGTACTTAAAGAAACACTTTTTACTAAAAAAAGAGAGTAGAAACACGTTTTAACAATTTAAAAATATTTTTATCATAATTAAAAAAACAATTACTTTTTGTCATAATTAATTCGAACGTATCCAAATTAAAAATAATTTTGAAGATATAGCTTTTGAAATAAGCTTAAGGATTAGACGTAACTAACCAGCAAGAAAAAATGTGGTTGCAACCACTCAATTGTCATTTTGCACATTAAAAAAGTCATACCAAAAGCTGAATTAAAAAAAAAATAAATTAATCCATAATAGTAGAGTTACTATTGTTCATTATTTTTACAAAAATAAATGTGAAAATTAGTTAGAAAGTTTGGATTAAAAATTTGGTTCTTAAATTTGAAAGTTTATATCTCATTTCTATAGTTTTGTTAGGTTGTTTAGCCTTTACTCTCTAATTAATTAATATTTTGATGATAAAAAATAAATTTGGTACTAATCAATTTTGTATTTTAAGTGTTAACTTTTATGTCTTAAAAAATTTAATCTCACACAGTTTTGTTAATTGGGAGAAATTATAAAGAGCAGATGTAATTAGGATGCGTTTGGTTGGTGATCCGAAAATATCTCAGTATTTTCGAATATGTGTTTGGAGGAATATTTGGAAATTGAATCTCAATTTAAGAAATTATTCTAGATGGGTATATTTGTAAACTTAGAGTAGTTATTAATTAAATATTTAGTTCAATCTAAAATATTATTAATTAATATATATGTTATAAATTTTATATAATTATTAATTTAATTATGTTATATTTTAATTTTAATAAAATAAAATAAGTTTATCAAACGGAAATAATATATTTATTAAAGTTTTGATTTTTTTAATATAATTTCCTATTTTAAAGTTTCAAATTTAAATTTGAAACAGAGTCAAAACATAAAAATGTTTTCAAAATTTTTCAAAGGATCTAAAAACAATTTTCAAAAAAAGAAAGAAAGAAAGAAAAAAGAGCGAATACTATAGGGAGCTCAATTAATTGGACGGACGATGTTTAACCAACGTAGGGATGATGGATATGAGCGTGACACGTGGCCTCATAACTTTATTATATTATTTTTTTAAAAAAATCAAATTTATCAATTTGTGAAAAAACCTAATTTCTTTTCCTCCTCTAATTAGCCGTTTTCCCAAATTACCTAAACCTTATTCTCTCTCTTATTGCTACAATAATCTTTCCTCTTCCAGTTATAACGTGTCAACCTCTCGTTGGTTAGACTTGTCATGTTTCCTCCGTTAAATAAAGTTTAAAATAAAATGTTTTTGAACCCACTAGATTGTGCCATGTGTTCCCTAAATTTCAAGAAAATTTGGAGCACTACTTGTCCCACTAGGATTTTGCATTTATGAATAATGTTTTAATGTCGGTGGACCAGAACTATTATTATTATAATAATAATAAGGAGAAGAAAGGAGTAGGATAAAACTTCCCAAGATTTAGGGGAAGTTCCTCTGAATTCCTGTTTGGTCTAGTAAGATATAGACAAGTGGACCACGTAAGAATTATACAAAATTAAAAAAACATTTGTCAATATGAAAGATTGGAGGAACTTTCTCTTGAATTTTGAGGAGGGAAGTTTTTTCCTAATAATAATAATAATAAAAGATAAGTGTTCGTGGACCATACACAATTTTTGATATGATGTTAATATAACAAGTAATGAATGGAAGGTATTTGTGCAAGTAAAATGAGTTAAGGTCCAACTTGGTCAGGTCGGTCATTGGCAAGACCTACAGGGTCGAGGGGTGTCACGTATCGTTGGGCACAAGAATACCTGTACAAGAGGATCAGACACTCTGATGCTCAAGTTATTCTTTGGTTCGACTTAGATTAGGAGGCCGAGCTATAATATGATATCATCTGTTGGGGTGCAGTCTCCTATTTGTTAGTCTGTGAATCCTGTAGACATTTGACTAGCAGTTGGGGAGTAGGTGTACCAAACCGTAGGTAGTTGAGGACAGGTGAATCGAATTGTAGGTCGTTAAACTTGGGGCGGCATGGGGTCAGAGGGCTTCCAAACCATAGTCCTCTCTTCTGGCCATCTTTTCCAAGTCGTTCTCTCTCGATTCATTGGGGCGAGATCACGAATACATGTCCTCTCCTCCACGTGGCACGCTTCTGGTCAACTTCTCCCAATAGAAGGAGTATTCATACTCTCCCGTGGTCGTAGTACTGGAATATTTTCTTAATTTCATTCTATTATTTAATACCAATTGAAATCCATGAAAAATAAGCTAAATAAAAGTCTGGAAAAGTTATGGATTGTTTCTCTCGACTCTACAAAATTTTGAGTGACTTTTAGCATTATTTACTCATTTTCTTCGTGTTCTATTGTAATTATATAAATTGTAGACACCGCATTTGGTCCGGCTCAAATTTTATTTTTTTATTATTAACATTAACATTAACATTAATATTTTATATTATAAAATTTTATTTTATTTGTTTTCATTAAAAATAACATATTTTATCTTATTATTAGTTTTAAGGTAAAATTTTAATTAAATTAATTTTTAAAAACAAGTTTTTGTTTTAAAAGAATTTGATTAAACATAATAATAATAAATAAAGATTTAGTTTTAAATAATGTTTTTTTAATAGATTTGTTGTAATTTAGATAAAAAAATTTTCTATTTATTAATATTTGATTTTAAGTTTGTTTTGGTTTCTTGTCAAAACCGTGTTACGTGGCTTTTGCTCCATGTTCTTCTTCCAATCATTTTTGATACCGTTACTTTTTTGGGTATTTAAGAGGTAAGGCCAGACAGAAGGGGATGAGAGAAAAGGAGAAGAGAAAACCACGTTTCCCTTCGTTAAACACCCATTTCTTCTATTTTTATTTCCTCCTTTCTTCAGTTCTCTGTCTTCAAACCTCCATTATTGACCTTTTTGTTTCTTCCTTCCTTTCTCTCTCTTCAAACCCTCATTATTGTTTTTTTTTTTTTACCTTCTTATTTCTTCCTTTTTCTTTCTCTCTCCACGTTTCATCTTGTTCCCCATTTCCACTCCCAATCCTCTCTCTTAACCCCACACCTCCGACGGCCACAACGACTCCCGAACACACCGGCACAACAGACTCCGACGACCGGCACGGCAAATCGGCGGCGACAGCAGCTCCAACGACAAACCCACCCAAATCTACACCTCCACGATTAGCGGCACTCTGACAAAGTCCCCCATTACGACCACCGTGAATGTGGGTTATGGAAAAAGAAGAAGAAGCTCCTAAATAAGAAAAGGAAAACTTTGTTTTCTTAAAGGTAAAAGAAATTTACTTTTTTTTGTTTAACCTTTAAAATAAGTTTTTTTTTCTTTCTTTTGTAATTTTGTTTTTCTTTTTAAAGAAGGTTTTGTTTCAGTTTTTTTTATACAGGTCTTTTTATGAGTCTTCTATTAAAATATAAAAGATTTTATTTTGATTTTAAAATAATTTTCTTTTTTTCCTAAATCAACGAGTGTTGAGTTTTAAAAATAAAAGATATATATTTTTTAGGAAAATATTAAAAGTAGATTTTTTATTTCAAAAGTGAATGAAAGTGTTAAATAAAAATAAATAATCCCCAAATTATAAATTAAGCAAGAGCTTGTTTTAAAATAAATGATGCTATAAATAAGTTTAAGATTTTTTAAATAAAAAGTTTTAAACGAATTTCAAACTCAAAATAAAATAAATATTTTTCTTAATATTTTTTTCCCTTCATTTATAGTTTTGTTTTCTTTTTTAAAACAAAGTTTAAAAATAAAACGTTTGTATTTAAAAAAACAATTAAAATGTATCCTAAGGTCTTGGCACAGTGGCAAAAGCTTAGATTTTAACAACCATATTAAAAGTTCGAGTTTTTATATGTGTCATGATTTTTTTTATGTGGTACCGTTTTCGAACGGGTGTCGTAGGAACACCTCTTCTAAGCTCAGTCGACTCTCGAACCTAAAATCTCGCAGACCAAGTTTTTAAAATAGGTAACAAATCACACCTCGTAGATGATTGGTGGCGACTCCAAACCCTTATCTCGAAAGAGATCCTTCAGGGAATGACGTCGACCGCTCCGCGTCGCGATGACGTTGCGACATAAATATATGAAATTTTATTAAGATACATAATCTCATATCATTAGTTTGAGAAATAATTTTGTTGTCAGCCTTTTGTAAAATCTTTAATACTTAAGCATTTTTATGAAAAAAATGTAATTATTGGTTAAAAGGTTATATCTTTGAATTAAAAATTATATTTTCGAAAAAATTTTAGCCAACCTTGTTCATCCCTCTCACTCCTTTAAGGTTGCAAATTTTAATTGTTTTTATAATTTTAAAAGTTTTAATTCAGCTCTTATAGTTGTGTTAATTCTCTTCAATTAATTGTCTCTTATTACAAGATGCTATCCTATGGAATATATGGCATGTGATTCTATTTACGACAGTGGCCTAGTGTGGGAAAGGAGATTGTATCAAAGTTCAATATTGAGTAACTAAAAAATAAAGGCAATTACTAAAATAACAATTTCAAACATGGCAATTTTTTTTTAACTTTTACAAAAATAGCATAATTCAAATGAAAGTCAAACTTAAATATTGTAATATAAAATATATTATTACAAAAGTCAAATTTTTTCAAACTGAAATTTTTTCAATAACGGGATCGGGCCCACCTAAGGCGGGTGCATGAGAGAGCGAAGGCAAAATAAAAATCGAATGGACTTCTTTGCCTTCCTTCACGTTGTAGCCATTTCGAATCACAAGAGTTCTCTTTTTTTTTCCTTTTAATTCATTTTGATTTTTGTTATGGTGGTAAAGTCAAGTCTAAGTATATATAGTACCAAAAGAAAATCCGATTTCAGTATTTTTTCGTTTCTAGAGGAGATCGATCACTTGGATAGCTTTGACCTACCAACAGGCAAGGAAATCTGTGAATAATTCATTTGGTCGCTCGCCATGTTCGCTCGTTAGGTCGAGTGTTCGTCCACTTCAAAGTCTTAGGTGGAGTCCTAGTTAGGTTGTTGTAGAAGATGAGAGAGATATTTAAATAGGTGGGGAGAGAGAGAAAGATGTAAGTTCAGAGAAAGTGGAAGGGAGCAAAAGGGAGACATAGAGCTTAATTTGGCTAGGGTGCCAACTTTGTTTTAGTTCAAGAAAATACGTGGATCGGGTGGGGATTTGAGCATGACCTTTAGGTCGAGGATATATGATTTTAACCAATTGAGTTATGCTTAGATTGACCCTAGAATGTCAACTCATTAAGAGTATAGTTAGATTAACTTTAGTAAAATTTCAGTACTATATAGGTGAGTTCAGATATACTACCCCATTCGATGTTGATCCTTCGCCACATTAGAATCATTTAAAAATAATAAGACCCTTCAACATTAAATATATAATTATAAATTATAAAAATAAAAACATTAGTGTAAATATAGAGAGTAGGTACTCCATACTAAAAAAATTATCATTTAACTTCTTACGTGATTTGGTTGATTGTTTTAAAAGTGGAGATCAAGTATGAATTAGATTTTTTTTTCCTTTTAAGTACAACATGTGGGGTGAAGATTCGAATATACGAACTTATGCCAATTAGAGCTATGTTTGTTTTGAGTGTCACAATCTTATCCAACTTTAGAAATTTGCTACATCATCGTTACTCTCCAGCTTAACATATTCTCTCTTTTAAAATATGTTAATTTTCTTTTAATAAAATATATTAATTAAATAAGAAAATTAGTTAATGGTAATTATAATAATAAATTAATTCACGATAATTTAGTTAAAATTTGCGAGTAATAAATAATAATTTAAATGTCCAATGAACAACCTTCTGTATTGTACTTTCAATAGATCTAAAAGTAGTCTTCAAATTTTTTTCTTCTCTCTACGAGGAGTATGAGAGCATATGTCAGTTCTTGACTGTGGTTTCCAAAACCTTGGGGTTTTGAGCGCTGTTGGAATTTCTGTCGTTGTCTTGTGTCTGGATAGGAATGGGGACAACGGATCTCTTGGAAGACTGGAAAAAGTTCAAGCTAACATCTGTAGAAGAGGAGGTAACAGTGGATATTGATCTGGGAGCGACGAAGTGAGCGGAAAGGCAACTGGAAGCATGTCTAGCTGGGAAATTACTACTTCAGCGAGTTATTTCCGGGGAAGTTCTGAGGAGAGTATTTCAGCCTCTTTGGAAAGCAAGGAATCATTTCGCTGTTGAAGGGATTGGTAGAAATACGATAACACTTTATTAAAGACTAAAAAGAGTAGGTTTACCTGCTTAGTTGGGAGTTAATTATGATGAAAAATGTATGTTCAAGCATATAATTTAGGGAAAATGTGCGTAATTTGTGATTAGGGATTTTGGAATTCAGTTATAAGTAAATGAAGGCTAATTTGAGTAAATATGCTTATTTTGTAAGGAAAAGTGAAGATTGATGATCAAAATGCGTCAGGCACATTGCAGACTAGCCTACTAGAGGAATGAGCCAGCCAAGTTACTTTGAAAGTTCCAGCTTCACAATGCTTCAGCCACATTCGATGCCTAGATTGTCAAAACTGGAATAACAACTTTTGACCAAGTAATTGGTCCAAGATTTGTTATTAGTTCCTAAAATCTCTACAACCTCATTTGGTTCAACCTCCCATGCATTTCTCAACATCTTGTTACCTCCATGGCCTACAAAAGAGCTCCCAAGCATCACTTCAAGACCTCTCATTTTCCATGCTTTGCTTTTTCTTTCTAATTCTTATCAACTTTAGCTTCTAAGTTTTAATTCCAGTTTTTAAGTTTTGTTTTTCCTTTATTGTTTTTAAAATTATTTTTGTTTATTTTTCTATTTGTTCTAAGTTTGTACTTTCCTTTCTATTTTAATGAAAATGCATCACTTTGTTACATTCTCTTGTTTTGTTGTTTATTTTACTTTTATGAGTAGCTAAATTTTTTCTTCAACCCTCCTACGAATGTTTTAGTTCTTATTACAATAAATTACATCTATCAGTGAGCACGACGTATTACGTTCTCTTTGCTTATCTTGATTGATACAATTTATCTAGTTGATTTTTCTTGTTGGCCACTTGTTTAAATCACACTAGTTTGAATTTAATTCTGAGAAGGTTAGAGTCAAACGGATCTCATCAAGGTAAAACGAGAAGTTACTTAGAAATAAGAACTAAAACAAGATCCTAGACACAGGCTCTCTTACCCGTTAAACGTAAGTTGACATTTAATTTATTTAGGATTCTAGAGTTGCATAGACATATGTAAACACTATGTAAACAGTAGCCTAAACTTCTAAACAAACCAAAAGCGGTATGGAATAGGAGTCATAAATTGGGTGTAATTACGGGCACATTTGGTAGGTGTAATTCATTAGTTTAGAACTAAACAGTAGTAGGGGGTTGGCCTTTTAAATTCTATTATTTTCGTGTGATTTTCGTGTTCAACCAATCTCACCAATTTTTATCACAATTCTGATTGCTCATTCCAACAGTTTACAAAATCACTTTTAAAAGAAAACTAGTCCCTGTGGAGACGAACTTGGAATATTTCCAGATTATTACTTGTGACAGTGTGCAGTTGCACTTAACCTCTAGCTATTAAGCTGAGGCGCAACAAGTTTTTGGCGCCGTTGCCGGGGACTTTGTTTTCATTTTAATTTATGCTTTGTAATTTGTTTTTGTGTGCGATCACTCCACCGTTTCTGTTCTGAAAATATCCCCCTATCTAACCTCAAAAGTGAGCATTAATGCATGAGCACAAATCCGCACTTGCTACCATACGATCCCAAGATCAAGGAAAAAAAGTTGCAAGAGGTTAAAGCGTGAACATATATTTAAAAAAAAAATTGAAAAAGAGAAGAAAATGAAAAGTATGAGAGGTTACTTGTATTGAGCTAATAGCTAGCAGGAGTGATTGAAATAGATCCTCAATTTTTTCTACCAATGACTCGTTCATAGCTCCTGTTAATCAATATTTTTGTTCATATTGTGGTGATAATTGCCATTCAGTTGAATATTGTGAATCTAATCCTACATCTCTTTATTATCCAGATCCACCAAGGATTCAACAAGAGTTCACTCCTTATTCAAATTCCTACCACCAAGATTGGAGGGATCATTCGAATTTCTTGTGGGGAGAGCAACAACTTGAAAGTAGCTATCCATATGAACATGCATTCCCACAAGAATTTCCAATACAACCTCAGCAGGAGTACGATCAACCAAGGGATCTAAAGCAAATACAATCGTGGGTAATGTCTTGCCTTGAAGAGACGATGATAGATCTTATGGCGAGAAATGAGGCAACAGTACGCAACAACATGATAGATTTTATGGCGCGAAATGATGCAGCAGTACGCAACCTGCATATCCGAATAGATCAATTGGTTGCTGAGCTGAGGAATAGTCCACCAACAGCTTGTCTTAATGACGCGGAGATCCCAAAGCAAGAAGGGGAACAACAAAGTGAGGCAATGAGTGTATGGAGCAAGCTCGAACATGACGAAGTAGAACTTCTAGTGGACAATGATGACCCACCATCCCCTAATGTGATGAACGAGGTAGGAAATTATAAGGAAGTTGAACAAGAGCAACCAGTAGAGGTAATTAAGCATAAGGTTGCAAAGGACCTAAACCCATCACCTCTCAATCTTGGACCACTTTTTCCTTTCCCTCGACATTCTTTAGATACAAATTGAGATATAAAGAAGGGAGAGCTGACCACACATTTCAAGGATAAAATGGAGGAAAAATAGGAGAAGATGAGGTAGGTTCCGATGATGAATTTTATGCAGAAGCAATAACCAAAATTCCCATTTTAAAAAACAAATGCATACAAGTAAGTTACCTCCCTCTCGAGCTGGACATTCAAGCATATTGTGCTTTGAATAAGAGAAACTGCGACATGGCAGTTAAAGAAGAGAGGTCGAATGAGCTTGATTGGAGGGACACTCTTTTGTGAATTATTATTTTTAGTTTTGAAGTTTATTTTAATTAAAAAAAATAACTCATTGATTTTTGTTTGATTTTCCTGTAGAGTAAGAACCTTGATATGGTTAATTAACTTAAAGGAGGAAGTATTTTTTCTTTTCTAAAATAAAATGTTTTCTAAAATTTTTTTTTAAAATAATTCTGTCATTTTGAAAACAAAAATTATTAGCAACTTCTTAATAATAATAAAAAAAAGATTTTGTCTCTCATGAAGTTAATTGGGCTTACAATTTCTAAACACTTTGTAAATAAAGAAAATTTGGGTTTTGTTTTTATTTTCTTAATTGAGCTTGTATTTCCTAAAACAATTTTTGTTAAACAAAACCACAATTAAGGCCCAAGTTATTTTAACCAAATATATTTCTTTTTATTATTCATGCATTATTTTGTTAAAAAAAAGAGGAAAAAAAACACAATAGTTTTCGGAAAAAAAAAAGAAGAGAGTTTTATTTTTTTGGGCTTTTCATTTTTTTAAAACAAATAAATTGGGCCAAGGTTTTTTACCTAAGGTTTGTTTTGTTTAAATAAAGAATTTAATAATAATAAAAAAATTAAAAAACAAAACAAAATTCACATTTTTTTTCTTTTTTGTTCTTCTTTGAAGGCAAACCCCACCCCCCTTCATTCTTTCTTCCATCTTTTCACCATGGGAACCTTACCATCTCACCCCGGAGCTCCGATTCTTCATCGTCATCTTATCCCGTGGGTCGCCGATGTTCCCAATCATCCAATGAAGAAAGTCCATGGTGGTCTGTCATAATCCCGAGGGGCTGCACTCATCAGCACCACCGCACTCACTGTCCACCGCCGCACACCACAGTCGATAGTCGCTCATTACATGTCCATGGGTGGGTTTGATTTCGCCCAATCCCGAACCATTTGAAGATGACAGAGAATCAGGGAGTTTCTGATCCCCTTACTTTTTTTCTCTTGTTTTTTTAGTTTTGATTATTATTATTATTTTTTGTTGCTAGGTAGTTTATTAGTTAGGCATGATTATAGGTTGTAGTTTTGATTTTGTTTATCCGGAAGCATGCTGCAAACAGTTGTGGATTGTGTTTTTGTGTTGGCCTAGAGTTTTATTCTCATGCATATCAAGACTACTGCTGCCCCACTTTATTTTTTGTGAATCTTCAAGTGAATGCACAATTTGTCTTATCAATTTTACGCATGACAAGTCTTGGATTTACCATCTTTGAGTAGGTTCTTGTTTTTTTTTCTCATGTCAATGATGATATTTAGGAATATGCATGAGCTTTGTTTTCTACTATTTAGATCAAGCTATGACTCATTTGCCACGTTGTTTTAAGATAAACTCATTTCTGCTTCTTTAGTTTTAACCTTTAAACTTTTTAGGTCTTTTAAGAGGATTCTTGTCCTTTAATGGTAAAAAAATTTTTACGCACCACCAAAATTTTTTCACACTTAAAACCAGTGAGGACACTGTCTCCTTCAAGTTTGGGGGAGTCGCTTACCTCAAGTATGGGGGAGTCGCGTAAGCAAGCCTAATAGATTGCAGTGAACCAAAATATAAGAGAGGTAAGAAAAAGTGTGGAAAAACAAGAAAAAATTTGTGCTCTTGAAACAAGAAAAAGTGACAAAAGGAAAAAAAGGAAAAAGTGATAGAAAATTTTGCAAAGAAAAGCAAAATGAAAATAAGTGTAGAAAGACAAAAGCGTGAAAGAAGAAACTTTGAGGCAAAAAAAAAAGAGAGAGAATAAAAATAAGGAAGCTTACCTTAACTCAGTTCCCACTCTGTTTCGAAAAGAGTCTCACCTAAGGATACTCGTAATTTTATAGTAGCAACTTTGATTTAGCTTGACTTTGTGCAACTCATTAATCAACAAGCTCGGATTGGTTGTCAGCCTAGAGAATCCCTCACTGATTTGAAAAAGTTTTCTGAGTTAGACAATAGAAGATTTTGAAAAGCTTTTATCTTTTAAACAAAGGTGGCTTAATGATGATTGTGCTTTAGAAAAGTAGTAGGGATTAAAGCTTTGACGTTCCTCCTGAGACACCATATGAGCAAATTACTCGACTCTGCTTGATGTTTGGTTTATTCTTGAATTTTGCATGCTTATTATTGATTTCATAATTGTTGTTTTTGCTTGAGGACAAGCAAAATATTAAGTTTGTGGTGTGATAAGACTTGATTAAAGGCTAAAAAGAATAGTTTACATGTTTAGTTGGGAGTTAATTATGATGAAAAATGTATGTTCAAGCATATATTTTAGGAAAAATGTGCGTAATTTGTGATTAGGGACTTTGGAATTCAATTATCGGTAAATGAAGGCTAATTTGTGTAAATATGCTTATTTTGTAAGAAAAAGTGAAGATTGATGATCAAAATGTGTCAGGCACATTGCACATTAGCTGACTAGAGGAATGAGCCAGCCAAGTTACTTTGAAAGTTCCAGCTTCACAATGCTTCAGCCACATTCGATGCCTAGATTGTCAAAACTGGAATAACAACTTTTGACCAAGTAATTGGTCCAAGATTTGTTATTAGTTCCTAAAATCTCTACAACCTCATTTGGTTCCAACCTCCCATGCATTTCTCAACATCTTGTTACCTCCATGGCCTACAAAAGAGCTCCCAAACATCACTTCAAGACATCTCATTTTCCATGCTTTGCTTTTTCTTTCTAATTTTTATCAACTTTAGCTTCTAAGTTTTAATTCCAGTTTTTAAGTTTTGTTCTTCCTTGATTGTTTTTAAAATTATTTTTGTTTATTTTTCTATTTGTTCTAAGTTTGTACTTTCCTTTCCATTTCAATGAAAATGCATCACTTTGTTACATTCTCTTGTTTTGTTGTTTATTTTACTTCCATGAGTAGCTAAATTATTTCTTCAACCCTCCTACGAATGATTTAGTTCTTATCACTATAAATTACATCTATCAGTGAGCACGACATATTACGCTCTCTTTGCTTATCTTGATTGATACAATTTATCTAGTTGATTTTCCTTGTTGGCCACTTGTTTAAATCACACTAGTTTGAATTTAATTCTGAGAAGGTTAGAGTCAAACAGATCTCATCAAGGTAAAACGAGAAGTTACTTAGAAATAAGAACTAAAACAAGATCCTAGACATAAGCTCTCTTTCCCGTTAAACGTAAGTTGACATTTAATTTATTTAGGATTCTAGAGTTGCATAGACATATGTAAACACTAGCCTAAACTTCTAAACAAACCAAAAGAGATATGGAATAGGAGTTGAACCAGTTTGCATAAATTGGGTGTAATTACGGGCACATTTGGTAGGTGTAATTCATCAGTTTAGAACTAAACAGTAGTAGGGGTTGGCCTTTTAAATTCTATTATTTTCGTGTGATTTTCGTGTTCAACCAATCTCACCAATTTTTATCACAATTCTGATTGCTCATTCCAATAGTTTACAAAATCACTTTTAAAAGAAAACTAGTCCCTGTGGAGACGAACTTGGAATATTTCCAGATTATTACTTGTGAAAGTGTGCACTTGCACTTAACCTCTAGCTATTAAGCTGAGGCGCAACAAAATACTTCTCTGTTTCGTTTTGAATCAGAAAAAGAATGTGATAGGATCCTTAAGTTGGGGCCATGGTCTTTTGATAAAGCATTGTTGATACTTCAAAAGCCTCCAAAGATGGTAAAATTGTCTGAATTGATTTTCAATTTTGTGTCGTTTTGGACCCACTTCTATGATCTTCCTTTGGAATGTATGACCAAGGCTATGGTGCAGAGGTTGGGGAATGTTGTAGGCGTGTGCGACGAGGTCGATAGTGATGCAGATGGTTTGTGTTGGGGAGAGAGTCTTCGGGTGAAGGTTAGATATGATATCACTCAACCTATTCGGAGGGGATTAAAAATCAATATCGAGGGGCCAATGGGAGGATGCTGGATACCAATGACTTACGAAAGTCTTCCAGATTACTGCTATCACTATGGATTGATCGGGCATCTAGTGAAGGAGTGCACGGATGGTTTGACAAGCATGGAGCGAACGAAAGGGTATGTGGCACCTTATGGTGCCTGGCTTTGTTTCCAAAGTACAATGAAAGCGAAGATCAATTTTCGTCGAAAGAGCTCTACCCCTTCATTTTCGAGTGATAGGTCAATCCCTGGGAAGGGTCACGATGAAGAGCTGAAGGGGCAAAGCCAAAATTCAGGTGGTAGAGAGGCTGAGCGGGATGAAATTCCAATGGCGAGTCTTGACGGAATGGTGATCGGAATAGCATATTCCTGAAAAGATTAATGAGCACATTGGTATTCCCGTTGACAATTTTGGAAAGGAGGGTGCAGTTTTCAAGGGTCATTTACTTGGAGAAATTGATGTCTTGCCTGATCCTAAGGGATTTTTAAATGGGGGGAGAGATGGAAATCAGGATCTTTTCCATAAAGGTAATAATGGAAAATCTCTGGCCTTTGTTCCAAATGATTTTTCTAATTTTGAGGTAGATGGTACGGGCTCATTACAAATTGAGGTGTTCAGCCCAAAGTCGGTTCAGCAATGGAAGAGGAAGGCTCGGGCCCAGTCTGTTTTTAGGGCTGACCCTTTTCTGAGTAGGGCGGAAAAAAGAGTAGGGGAGGGCCAGGACATGCATGTTAACTAAAAAAAATGAAGCTCAATGAAGAGGGGTCGTATGAAGAAACAGAATTATCGGTGGAGGCTGCAATGCAGCCCCACCGGGAGCCATGAAGATTATATGTTGGAATGTCCGAGGGTTGGGGAACCCGAAGACATTCAGAAATGTATGTGACATGTTAAGTCACTTTAATCCCCATGTTATTTTCTTTTCAGAGTCAAAATGTAGTTCGGAGGCTTTCAATAAATTGAAGGCTCGCTTGCATTATTTTGGGTGTTTTGTTGTTGAAGGTTGTTGAAAAAGTAGTGGTCTTGGTTTATTATGGAAGGAGGAGGTGAATTTAACGATTCGCTCCTTTTCAAAGTTCCATATTGATTCCAGTGTTATTTGGAATTCAACATCGTTTTGCTTTTCTGGGATGTATGGCAATCCAAAGGTTCACGATCTTCATTGTTCTTGGGAATTACTAAGACGTTTGTGTAATTGTGATGATTCAGCTTGGTGTATGGAGGGTGACTTAAACGAAATTCTATCTCTGGAAGAAAAAGAAGATGGCAGTACTAAAATTCAAGCTGAAATGGATAGATTCAGAGAAGCTGTTGATGATTGTTATCTCCAAGACTTGGGCTTTAGTGGCAATACTTTTACTTGGTGCAACCGGAGAAAGGAGAGGGACCAAATTTATGAGAGGCTTGATCGCTTTCTGGGCAATGAGGCTTTTCAAAGCATTTGGACAGAATTAAGAGTGACTCATCAAGATTGGGCAAAGTCAGATCATAGGCCCATCTTGCTTTCTTTATTTGAAACATGTGACAGGCCTATTCAGCGGAGGAGGGTGTTCAAATGTGAGGAAGTGTGGATAAGAGATAACACATGTGGAACCATTATTAATGAGGTGGGGGATTGGGGTGATGATCAGAATAATCAACGTTTAGAAGCTTGCCTTCGAAAGTGTGAAACTGCTCTGGGCCGTTGGAGAAGGGATTTCAACAAAAATTTCAAAAATCAGATCTTGAGTATTCGGTCTGCTATTGCATAGGTTTACTCTGGCTCTCCCCCTTGGGATTTTGAGCTTATCCACAAATGGGAAAAAGAACTCGATTCTTTGCTTGAAACAGAGGAAATTTACTGAAGACAAAGATCTTGAGAAAATTGGCTGCGGTGGGGGGACAAAAATACCAAATGGTTTCATAAACGGGCCTCAATGAGAAGACAGAAAAATTGAATCCGAGGTTTGGAGTTGGAGAACAATTTGTGGATAGAGGACATGGATCTTGTGGAGAAGAGGTTCATATCTTATTATGAGGATATTTTCTCTTTTTCAAGACCCACTGATGATGATATGGCTCGAATTTTACAGAATGTTCCTTTCTCAGTAACAGAAGAGATGAATAGGAAGCTTTTGGCTCCTTTTGGAGTGCTGAAATTGTGAGGGCTTTAAAGCAGATGCAAGCATCGGGACCTGATGGGTTTACAGCCTTGTTTTACCAACGCTATTGGGGCACGGTTGGGAGAAAGACGATAGAAAGTTGCCTAGAGATCCTAAATGGGAAGCGGTCAGCTAGGGAGTGGAATTCTACTCTCATTGCCCTTATCCCAAAAACTAAAAATCCTCGATTGGTGTCAGAATATCGGCCTATTAGCCTTTGCAATGTATTGTATAAAATTATAACGAAGGTGTTAGCTAACCGTTTCAAGTATGCGCTACTCGCTTTAATCTCAGAGACCCAATATTCTTTCATTCCTGGGCGAGTGATTTCTGATAACATTATCATCGGGCATGAGTGCATTCATGCCATGAAAAAGAGATGCTCTGGAATGGTAGGTTTGGCGGCTCTAAAGCTTGATATGAGTAAGGCATATGATAGGGTGGAATGAGTTTCTTGAAAAGATGACGTTAAAGATGGACTTCCATAGACAGTGGGTGGATTTTATTATGGATTGTATCACTACTCATTCCTTTTCGGTGCTAATCAATGGAGAGGCTAAGGGTCATATTGTTCTGGAAAGGGGACTTCGGCAAGGAGACCCTTTGTCGCCTTACCTTTTTATCATATGTGTGGAAGCTTTATCAGCAACTATTCAACGAGCCTATGAGATGAATCAGATCTCAGGTATTTTAGTTTCTCCTCATTGCCCTACTATCTCACATCTTTTTTTCGCAGTTGATAGCCTTATTTTCTGTAAGGCTTCGATTCCTGAGCTATTTGCAATAAAGATGATTTTGTTGAACTATGAGAAGGCGTCGGGTCAAAAGATTAATTTTGATAAGTCGGTTATGTGGTTTACACCAAATGTTCGATGTGATTTCAAAACCTATGCAAAGTTGATCATGGGAATGAAATTAGTACCCTCATTGGGTGATTATTTGGGTCTCCCGTCGAGCCTTCCTAGAAATAAGAGCCGGGATTTTGGGAAGATTAAAGAAAGATTATGGAAGGTTGTCCAAGGTTGGAAATCAAGTTTTTTATCCGTGGGAGGAAAGGAGGTTCTTATTAAGAGTGTTGCTCAAGCGATTCCTACCTACCAGATGAGTTGCTTCAAGCTCCCTTCTTCATTTTGCTTGGAGCTTTCAAAAGTAATGACAAGGTTTTGGTGGGGTACTTCGGAGGCAAAGAGACCGATTCGTTGGGTGAGTTGGGAGAAAATGTGCTGGCCAAAGGAAATGGGTGGGTTAAATTTTCGGGACCTCGAGTTGTTTAATAAGGCTCTCCTAGCCAAACAACTTTGGATATATGTTCAATTTCCTAATCTCTTGACGGCTAAAGTGGTTATTGGCATTTATGCGAATGAAAGCACCTTGCTGGAGGCAGAATTGGGGACTCATCCGTCCTATTTTTGGCAAGGCATGGTTTGGGGTCGAGAGATTTTAAGGAAAGGTTTGGGGAAAGTAGTGGGAGCTGGAACAACTGTGAATTTTTTTAATGATCCTTGGATTCCGGGAGAAACGACTTTCAAGCTAATTTCTTCTTCTCCTAATCAGGATTGGAAGCCTCAAGTGGCAGAATTTATAACTCCTAATTACCAGTGGGACATTCCAAAATTGAGGCAATATTTGTGTGAAAATGACATTGAGGTTATCTCAACTATTCCACTTAGTTAGTCTGGAATTGCAGACAGATGGGTGTGGCATTATTCAAAGAATGGGAACTATTCAGTAAGGAGCGGGTACAAGTTGGCTATAAACCAAAAAATATTGTTTCAATCTACAAGTGATAATAACAGTAAAGATTGGTGGAAGTCTGTGGAAGATCCCTATTCCTTCTAAAATTAAAGTGTTTTTATGGAAGGCTTGTCATAATGCCATTCCGATTATGATGAATTTACAAAGGAGAGGGATGGAAGTTTTACCTTTATGTCTGGTTTGTTTGAAGAAGGAAGAGTCTGTGGATCATGCGTTGGTGAGTTGCAAAAGAGCCCGTCAAATTTGGGACTGTTTGTTGCCGAATATGTTGAGGGACGGTCGGTCTACCATTGATTTTATTGATCGTTGGATGGCTTGGGTAGGTGAGTTCTCCAAATCTGAGCTTATTCTTGCAAGTATTATTGCTGGGCAATCTGGAATGATAGAAATCAAGTATTACATAAAAATCATTTACCGGATTGTTCAGTAAAGGTTGCTTGGATTATGGACTATGTTGAGGAACTAAAATTGATGGAGTAGGGAGGGGTGAGAGATCAGAAGGGGATGGTACCTCGGAAGAACGCTTGGAAACCTCCCCCCTGTGGGGTAGTGAAAATAAACACCGATGATGATTGTGATTCGCGTCGATCTGGATTAGGAGTTGTTATCAGAGACGATCGATCTGGGGACGAATCCTCAACTCGCTGAAATTGCTGCAATTTGTGAAGGTTTGAGGCTTGCAGAAAGGCTAGGGCTTTCTCGAGTGTTGGTGGAGTCTGATTCGAAGAATGTGATCGACTCAATTTGTGAAATTTCGGTCTCTAGGGGTGAGGTGGCAAATCGTATAGCTGATATTCATTCCCTGGCGAACTCTTTTGCTTCGATTTCTTTTCTCCATGTTTTTAGGGAATCAAACCAAACTGCTCATGCTCTAGCTAAGGAGAGTACCAGGATGGGCCATTCGTTTTTGTGGCTTTCCAATTTCCCTTTTTTTCTCAATTAGTGTGTGGAAGCTGATTTGCAAAATCATGTAGCCTTAATGGCGGTATGAGTTTCTTAAATATATCTGCTATTCTAAAAAAAAAAATTTAAATGTCCAATGTTTCTTAATTTTAATTTTTGTGGGTGAAAACTGAAATTGAAAAAAATAGAAAGATAAATCAAGTTGGTTTGGAACCACGGATGGAAAAAAAGCTAGGGACCCGATCTTCGTAGGTACCTGACCCGGTCGGGTCGGGGAATCCCCAGTTTTACTAGGGACGGGATCAAATTAGGGATCCTATTTGGGTTTCCTGGCAAGGACATGGCGGGGATGGGGGTGTCCTCGCCCCATCGCGTCCGCATCCCATTTAATATTTTATATTTTTGTATATAATAATATAAATAAGATTAATTATTATATATGTTTTTTAAATTTTTAACAAAAAGTCCAAATCCAATTTCTTATTGTACTAGTAGTAGTCGAATTTTTTTTATAAATCATTCTAAAAAAAATAATATATATAAATATATTTCGGGGACAGTTCCTTGCAGCAAAAAGAGAGAGAAATCGGAGGAAGTGGCGTGGGAGAAAGAGAACGAGAGAATGAAAAGAAAATTTTATATTTGAAAGACAAAATTACCTTCGAAAAAACTACGAAAGTTTATAAATTAGGACAAAATAGGGAAAAAAAGTTTCTCCCTATATCCCCTTTTACATATAATATAGATTATATATTTGGCTCCGTTGGCAAAAGTTTGGGATCTCTTGGTCACTTGCTTAGACGTCTCAAGTTAGAACCTTCCAATGAGTTGAATATAAAAAACTCTTGATGTTTCTCGGGTCCATATTTTAGGGTGGGCGCAAGTACCTCTAAGTGTAGGTGAGCAAAACTCCAACTCCCAATTATTAGAAAAGAAAAGTTAAATTATTATAAGTATATCGAACTCATTTTAAGTTATGCCTGATTTAAGCCTAATTTCAACCTAAATTCTTAAATTTCCACCATTAGTTTATGCCAACTCTCTATCAAATTGGTATAATTTCGACTTAATTCTTCTTCAAATTTAAGCTCAGATTTTATGCCAAATACACTAAGTTGGCTTGATTTTTTGACCTAATTCTTCATAAGGTTAGTGTTTGATTTTTGACCTAATTCTTCGTTAAGGTTAGGTTGTTGTAAACTCATTTATTATCTTGATTTTGATCTAATTCTTTTTTAGGTATTTGTTATCATTCGATACTATATGAGTTTATTATCAACCAAAAATAGTATAGTAAAAAAAAACTTAAAATATAATAAATATGAGTTTATTCGTCCCATGTAGCTTGAACCCAAAACCTCAAGGTTATTCCTTATCAATCTTAGCCATATTACATTTTTGGATCGGATGCTCATTTGAGCGAGTAAACCACCACTTAACCCAAAAGTTTAAGCTGATGAGTTGGGTAAATTTAATTTATATATTGGTTACTTAATAGAGATTTGTGGAAGAAAAATTTGAACTTACAAACTTAAAAATGAGTAGATGTCATTTACTGGTGAACTATATTCATGTAAGCTACTATGATTAGTAGGGATGTTCATTGTTCGGCAGGCATCTTGCGTAGAAATAAACATTGAAATCGGCCATTTTTTTCCACTGCTCTAAGTTGATTGATTGGTTGGTTCAATCAATCAGTTTTGGTTTAAATCGAATATATATATATTTTTTAATTTATGGTCACATTTGACAGAGACTTGCAAAATAGAGACTAGAGGGAAAAAAACAGTGGTGAGAATGAAGAGAAAGTGAGAGACAGATGTGAAGAAGACGAAGGAGCCAGTAAAGTCATAGTGAAGGTGAAAATCATGAGATGAAAGTGAGTGAAAGCGAAAATGAGAATGTGTGTGTGTGAAGTTTTGAGAATTTACGTGTCCTATTTATCATTCGATTTTAAAAAGGGCCAAATCATATTTGATAATGAAAAATGTCCATTGGTAGTTTTGGTTTGATTTTGACATTTCTACGATTTTTATTTGGTTATTATTTTTAAAATAAAATATCTTAACTTCCATTATCTTTCGTAAAACCACTCTTGTTTAATATACAAGGAGACATCACACCGAAGAAGATCAGGGAGGGAGACGATCAGACAGAAACGAGAGGAGAAAGGGAGACAGCAAAAATCCAATAGGGGAGAAAGAAGATATTGTTAGGCAATGCTAAACATTGACACAATCAAGCAAGGGAACAACGGTGGGGCAATGCGGGTGGGTGATAGAGCTGGTTGCAAATGGGGCAACGATGACGAAGGAGAGAGACCTATATGTTGAATTTCTACATTGCGTAGGTAGAGTGCTTTATATTTTTTGTATTAATTGTTAAAAAAAATACACCTTATTTCTTACATTATAGGTTCACCTTATTTGTTCACATTTTTTATTTACCGTTTGCCGTATTTTTTCTATGTTCATTGTATTTGTTTCTCTGTTCACCGTATTTGTTGATCTATTTGTCGTATTTGTTTATCGTATTTATTCATCTGTTCGCCGTATTTGTTCATATGTTCGCCGTATTTGTTATTTGTTCCTCTATTCGTCGTGTTCATCTATTTGTTTTGGGTCTTATTATTTCCGTGAAACAACATTATTATGGGTCTTAGTATTTGTGTTTCTAATTACATTTTGTTGGTTGGTGTTCATTATACATTCTTTAAGTTTTTTTAGAATTATTTGAATTATACTAGGTAGGATTCTCCAAAATTATATATTCATTTTAAAATCATTACAAGGAGGATAATTTTGTAACTAAAAAAATTAATAGATATTTTCCTATTTTCTTTTAAAATTACCTATTTTAAATGGTTATATGCTTGTTATCTTTTTTTTCGATGAGAGAATAATACATGCCCACAATTTAGTTGTCTTTTCCAATTTTTATCACTTATTTTTAGGTTTGATGTTGGGTCCTTGAACTAGTTTTTATCCCTAAATTTTTAAATTTATTATATTTTGGTCACAAACTTTCAAAATGTCTATTTTAATCTTTATATTATGAAAATAATTTAAATCATTTCAATTTTTTTTTCATATACCAAATCTCCATTCGTCCGGTAATCATCTTACTCAATTTATTTGGCTGTAATACATGTCTAAGTAGATCAACACACTCATATATACATTCAAAACTATTTCATCCATTTGTTAAAGGTAAAATAAAAATAAAAGATAAAAAATGGTTATTTTAGAAAAATATAAGGACTAAAATAGACATTTTGAAAATTTTAATAGAATCGTTCATATCGGTTTGATATCCATTTTTGTTTTTAGTTTTCTCTCTTTTTTTTAATTGTGTTTGTTTCATCTAAATTTCTTTGGTATGTTTTCCATATTTCTTAAAACCTCATTTGTACCTTAATTTCAAAAATAAAAATAAGTAAGAATTTAGTTTAGATTTTAAAAATATTTTTAAAAAAAATAACAAACAAGAGAAACACACCGATAAAAGTAATATTTTTAACTTTAATTTTCAAAAACAAAAAATAAAAAGTGAAATTTTTATCAAACGATCCCGATCAAAATAGAATAAAACTTGAATGTTTTGAGAATAAAACCAGATTTAATCCTTCCCTTATTTGTCTGTTCACCAAAAAAAAATAATAATAAATAATAAAAATAAATAAATAAATAATAAATAAAAATCGCAACGTTTGCCTTCTCTCTCTTTTCATGGGAGTGGAGTGGGTTAGTGGGATAAGGTGCAATCCAATCATGCAATCATAGAATCAATTATCCAAATGGATTAAATAATAATATAAAGTTTCTTTTTTCCTAAGAAAAGTATAATAAAAATGGATTGAAATTTACTTTAAATAACACTTTAACACACAAATAAATCACAACCAATCCTTTTTAATACTTTATATCCATATTTTTGTAAAAAATAAAACCACTTTTTTCTTCTTTTTATATATATTTTTTCTTCTTTATACTCAACCAACTTCTTTTATTTTTTTTTTCCAGTTAGGTTGTCCACTCTTTTCTCCATCCTGTGACGGATTAAAAATTATGTCGAGGGCGACTTCATACTAATTCACAAATAAGTAAGATTCTGAGACATAAAGAGTTTTTTTTTTTTTTTTGTCAATGTACTCTACAAATTTAATTTCGAATATTATACCTATAATATATTAGAATTTGTCGATAAATTTTCTAAAGTAATTATATAGAATATCTATTAAATCTTTTATTTAATAGACATATAATCCATCAATTTTCTTTAATAATATCTCCATTTGGATTATAAATTAAATCTACAATAACATTATTAAAAATAAAATAAAAAACTAAAACATAAAATAAGTATGATAATAATTATATGTATTAATGTAGTTAAAACCTGAGAATTTTAAGTTATAGTCCAAGTTTTTACTAATTATTATGTGTAAAATAATCTAAAATAGTCAAACTCATAATATACATAACCTACGAGTTAATAAAAATATACCTTAGACAATTAAAAATTGACGGCAGTAATTAGACTAAAAAGACAACAAAGGATTGAAAATTTTATTTGGTAGTTTTAAAAAAAGTAAGTGGTGGCACAATTTAAAATTAAATAAAAAATAAAATAAATAAAAATTTTTCAAGTTCAAACACAGGCACATCACAAAAAAAAAATCGACCATAGTCAGATTCGAACTCTAGCGGTTGAGAGGTCTCACGAAAATTAGATTGGAAGAGTTTTTATTTATTTATTTATTATTATTATTATTATTATTATTTTGCGAGTAGGGCCAAATGGATTATTTTATTTGGACAGAGGGTGAGATAAGTATTTAATATGATTACATATTTGAGAAAAATTAAAAAAGAAAAAGTGAGAGAGATATATAGTAAAATTAAAATAAAGTTAGAGAGAGAGAGAGAGATAACAATTAAAACATTTATATAATAAAGAGATATGTTATGT